TCCTCATCTCCTTCATCTACTCGGTGGTGTGCCTGGTGGGGCTGTGTGGCAATTCCATGGTCATCTATGTGATCCTGCGCTACGCCAAGATGAAGACGGCCACCAACATCTACATCCTCAACTTGGCCATCGCGGACGAGCTGTTGATGCTCAGCGTGCCCTTCCTGGTCACCTCGACTTTGCTCCGCCACTGGCCCTTCGGGTCGCTCCTCTGCCGCCTGGTGCTCAGCGTGGACGCGGTCAACATGTTCACCAGCATCTACTGCCTGACGGTGCTCAGCGTGGACCGCTACATCGCCGTGGTGCACCCCATCAAGGCGTCGCGCTACCGCCGTCCCACCGTGGCCAAGATGGTGAACTTGGCTGTCTGGGGCTTGGCCATCATAATCATCTTACCCATCATCATCTTCTCCAAGACCGAGGCCAACACAGACGGCACGGTAGCTTGCAACATGATGATGCCCGAGCCCAAGCAGAAATGGCTGGTGGTCTTCGTGGTCTACACCTTCCTGATGGGCTTCTTGCTGCCCGTGGTGGCCATCAGCCTCTGCTACATCCTTATCATCGCCAAGATGCGCATGGTGGCGCTCAAGGCCGGCTGGCAGCAGCGCAAGCGCTCCGAGAGGAAGATCACTCTCATGGTCATGATGGTGGTCATGGTCTTCGTCATCTGCTGGATGCCTTTCTACGTGGTGCAGCTGGTCAACCTCTTCGTGGAGCCCGACGACGCCACCATCAGCCAGCTCTCGGTCATCTTGGGTTATGCCAACAGCTGCGCCAACCCCATTCTCTACGGCTTCCTCTCGGACAACTTCAAGCGCTCCTTCCAGCGGCTGCTCTGCCTCAGTTGGATGGACAACGCGGCCGAGGAGCCCGTCGACTACTACGCCACCGCCATCAAAAGCAGGGCGTACAGCGTGGAGGACTTTCCTGCGGACAACTTCGGGGAGTCTGGCAGCACGTACAGGAACGGGACCTGCACCTCTCGGATTACAACCCTCTGAGCAAGAGAGGACGGGATAAAGAGAGGGGGAAGGGAGAAAGACTTCTTTTTTCTGCCTCCCACCCAGAAATAAAGAGGCCAACTCGAGGAGGGGTGGAAGGAGAGCGCAAATCAGACAGGGAAAGGGAAAGAACCAGGGTAATAGGGAAGGGGAGAGAAGGCAGGCCTCCCCTTGACTGCAAGGGGAAATGTTTGGGCCCTCCACCCCACCCGTTGGCCCCTCCTTCAGTTTCCCTCTGAGCTGGCCAGATCAACCTGGATCCCTGACGGCCCTTTTGCAAACACCTGGGACTTTCTGAGCAGTCAACCCACAGTTCTCCCGAGAATATTTGGAGTACAGGGAGGCAAGGAGTGTGGTCTCATTTGGGTTGGTAAAAAGGTCCCCCCCTCTTGTTGTTAGTTTGGGGATTTGGGTTTGGTGAATTACTGTCCCCATCCCCGTGATGTTTCTTTGTCCCCCGTCATTTCTCTCCCCTTGCTTCTCCGAGGATACCCCAAAGTGAGGTCTGCGGGGGGCGCTGCCCTCATCCCCGGGCGCACAGCGAGACGCGCGGGAGCTCCCGTGGTTGTGGTCTTTGCCTCGCAAAATAAACCAAGCCAAATCACGATCTCGGTTGTCTTTATGCGTTTATGCAACATTAGGATACTGATGAGAGAAAGAAAGACAGAGAAGAAAAAAAGTAAGAAAGAAAGCCGTGCCAGCTCTCAGAACACAGCCTTTAAATTCAAGGATAGGGCCTAAAATGACAAAAGGTGCGTGTAAGCGTGTGGCTTTTCAATTTGGAGGTTGGGAAGCAGTTTTAACATGTTCAGTCGTCCGGGCAAAGCTCCGTCCTTTACAGCCAGCAAGTCTTGGCTGGTACTAATCCCAGCTCTCAAATCATCCCGAATTTCAACCTTGGAAAAAAAATTTCTTTTCTTTTTTTTCTTTTTGCGAAAAAAAAAATGAAAGCACAACTCGCGTCGCGCAGTCAGAGCCTCTTTCCCCAACAGTTTCTCAGCGCTAGAGATAATCCGCTTCCAAAAAACACAAGCAGCTAGTCCCTGGGGCGGCTCCAACGCCAGATTCGCCTTGAAGTAGCAGCCCCTGGAAAATGGAAAGCTAAAACATTGCGTCACTTTGGTAGAAAACCAACATCTCTCTTTCTTGGCTCTACTCGTCTGTCTCTTCCCCCGCATTGCCCATGTAGGAGTTTTTTTTTTCTTTTGGTTTGTTTGTTTGTTGTTGTTGCTTTAAATTTGGCATTCAGCAGCGCTCAAGGGGAAATGGCAATCCATTTGAAAAAGAAAGTGGCCTGGAAGAAAGCAAAGCGATTATTTCGTTATCTCTCAGCAACAGTAGGCTGCTGATAAGAGCGAGATAAATAGCTTTCCCCAGTCACACAGACCCCCGCCTTCCTCGGTGACTATCAAGAGCTGGGCACTGGGCTCCCAGCGATATTTGATCTGGGAAACGTTTCCTTTTGTGGGTACATATAATAAAGGTGTGCAAGTAAAAGCAGGTGAAAGAAGGACAAGGTTATTGTCCTGGCTGTTTGATGTTCGGGCTACGAGGAAAAATAATAATGGGTGAGTGAGTCATGTCCAGCTAAAAAAAAAAGACACAGAGTTTATCTCAAAGTCTTGAAAGAAACAATCCAAATTTACTTTGGCTCCAATTCAGACTGTAATCGTTCCCTAATACTTGCTTTGGAAAAATCTGATTGGCTTTAGGGGAGGTACACTTTATTAAGTGTTTTGGAGAGTGCAGCCAGGAACTTATCTTTATTCAGCTGTATAGTTGTTATGTACATTGGAGCATAAGGGAAGCCAGCCCAGAGCCAGCTGAAATCTCACCTAGCGCAGCTGCCTGGGAGGCAGGGCAGAGCAGAGTCTGGTGTAATAAGCAAGCTATAGCTTTGCCCACTTGCATGCTTAGCCCCGGCATTCAGCTATCAGGAGGGACACCATCACTACACATTTGCAAAATATTAACGACGCAGGAAACTCTTCTGAGTGTAGAGTTGCTTGGTGACAGCTTCCATCTCTGTCGCATGGCTGATGCTCATGGCAAAGTTTAGAAAAGTTATCTTTGTGGTTACAACTCCTAGAATATTCCAGCTGGTTAGGGGATTCTGGGAACTGTAGTCCAAAAAGGTAGAGCTTTTCCATGTTCTGGCCTGTGATAGAATCAGGCTGTGAATTTCTCACTTTCCTAGAAAAAAACAAAAGAACAATAGAACTGCTAGTACTGTGCTCAGTCTAACCTTCTCTGGTCAAATGTCTCTGAAGTAGTCCAGAGCGGATTCAACTAAATGGCAAACTGTACAAAGAAAAGGCACCAGGGAAGAGAGAGCGATCCAGCCTATATCTTCTTTTTTCTTTCTCTCCCTCATTGCTAAGCAATGTAAATTTCTGGAGAAAGTCTGCATTTTTACATCAGCAGCCCTCTTAATTTGTCATACAATGTCTAAGCGCTTCACTGTTTTATTGGGATCCTGTTTTCAAATGTGTGACCAGTTACAGTATGTTGTTTGGGTTTTGTTTTTTAAAAATCCAATATATCCTTCTCTCTGTGCTGTGAAAACTTTCTATCTGAAACTATTCTCTTTTAAAACAGTTTTGGTCTGTATCAATTTCTGATGAGTATTCAAATGCTGATTAATAGCCAAGGCTGAATCGATAATAATTCACAAGTTGTATTTGTTTAAGGCACTTTCACAGACCGGGGAGAGGAGCCTGTAGCTTTTGGAAAAGGTCCCCTTTCATCCCTATGTTTTGCTTCTTGTCTTCTAAAGTTATTGGTGTAAATGTTTGGAAAAACAGCAATTTATTGTTTTATAAATTACAGTGGCTAAAGTGCAGATCTCAGATTACATTCTCTTCTGTTTGATAAAATGATCTGTTCCCCCATTTGTTTTTATCAATTTTTTTAAACTTATGAATACAAAAGAGAAGTTATGTATTTTAGATCTGTCCCAATAAATGTGATTTCCAGATCATCAACAACACTTAAAAGAAAGGGAATGAAAAAGTAAGGTACTAAAATCAAAATTATATGCCCATAAAGTTAAAAAAAAATAACTCTGGAGTAAGTGGTTTGCAAATTGCAACCAATGTTCTATGGTACTCCTTAGAGAACATTACAAATTTCTTCTGGCATCACAATGCTGTTATATTATACATTTCAGGTGTTAAGCAAAATGAGTGGAAGGTGATGTAGTTTAACATTGCTGTTTTGCTCACTTTTTCTTTTACTTATAACATCTTTCCAATGTTTTTGCAGAAGTTTAGGGAGTAAAATCTTTAATGGACTGTAACAATCTGTCAGCCTATTACTTGTGCAGTGCCATCTATATATATATGGTGCTTTAAAAAGTACTAGTTTTTGAAGAAGTAGTTGTGTTAGTTTGTGCAACCATATCAGACAAAGAAAACCCCAAGAGACAAAAACATTGTGGCAACTTGAAGACTAACAGTTATATTTTAGTTAGCCTTTAAGGTGCCACAATGTTTAAGGCTCACATTATGATACACCCCAGTTAGTCTTTAAGATGTCACATACAGTTCTTTCTGTCTCCTGTTTTCATTTGTTTGTTCACTTGAGGTTCCTGCCTCAAGTAGCTTAATTTTGATTGGATTATGTATTTAATTGTTGCCACATTCATACAAATGAAAGATTTGTAGCATAAGCCTTTGCATTTTTGTATAGAATTAAGATCCATGTTGTACAGGTGCTTACTCCCATCAAAGTGCCACAAATCTTTATTTCACTTTACCTGTGCAGGTTTTAAATGCCTTGGTTTGCCTGGATTATGTCCCTAGTTTACTCAGGGAGGTTAGAATGGGAAGGATTAAAGGGAGGAGGTAAGAGCTCAATGGGTTAAATGCAAATATTAGTCCCAGGTAGGGCAGAGCCATTGAATTAATGGGACCTAATGTAATTCAGTATGTCTACTCTAATTGAAAATATTAGCTGATTTTAGATCAATTTATGCAACCAGAATGACACCTATTTTAGCTTTGGCTTACTTGGGTATGTCAAACTATAGGCTGGCCATCATTTTGGGAAAGCTCCTATGAGAAACCAATTTACACGACTGTTCCACAAAACAGATAAAAACAAAAGGGTATTCATGATGTCAATTCACTTTAAAGTGCAATAATTACTCAGAACTACATGCGACTGAATTCAACAGAATTTATTCCCAGTTAAGAATATACAGTATAGGATTGAAGCTTTGGTGAGTTTAGCAACAGAGTGGATCCCTGTATAGTTACCAACACAGAAGTTAACAAACCATGCCTTTAGTCTGTATTTCACTTCTTTCACTGTTTTGTGGATTATACATTTGAAATTATCTTTTTATATGAACCTTTGTTTCTTGTACTTTGCTTCTTTCTAGAGCTTATAAATAATAACTCCTCTTTCAATGTATTTTCTAACACACCCTTAAAATTAAAAGAACCACCAAATTAAATTGTTCAGGACCCCATTGTGCTGGATGTTTTTTTTTTCCTGTTTTCGGATTTTTAGTATGGCATTTTAAGTTGGGACTATTATTTTCTTAAGAAAGGGTCAATCTACTGCTTCTATGCTACCATTTCCCTCAGGAGCTTGGATATCTTACTCTTCTAGGCTAAAACCCTCAGAGTGCCCCAGAAAGTATAGTAGCCATGCTGCCTCAGGGGTTCTGGGAGTCTGCTTATAAGGAGTAACTTTTCTAAGCAATTTTTCCTTAGCCATACAGTGATTCAGTGTTAACTTAATAAACGAGTGTATTAAACTGTGCTTTGCAATCTACTTGCAATTGTTTCTGTGCAATTGCTCAGCAGGTCTGATCCATAAAAAGCTTTAAGGAAGCATATGCTGCACAGATAACTGAGATTTGCCTAGATACAAAGCAAAGCTTCACTTGTTTGTTCTTTTGCCATTACACAAAAGCAGTTTGACTAGTTTTGTGCTGCTGATTAGATTATGTGGAAATTTAGCCAATCTGGGCAACCTTTGAATGGGAAGTAAGAAATCGGATAACAGACCAAAATATCAGCATTAAACTGAAAGATAGCATTGTTCACAAATGATCCTGCATGGACAAACAGAGGAGCATGACTCTGCATCTCTCTGTAGTGAAAGTCCTATAAGCCTTGGATTTGGTAATTGGACCGGGAAGCAGTGCAGTTTTAGACTGAAACACTTAACAAGGAGTGCAATGGGGCTGTGTTCCTTTAGGGCAGCAGAGTAGTAAAACACTGAAATTCCTAGAGGCGCATGCTGAATTTCACAGAAGTTTGTATTCTTTGCTTGAGACAAGCCAGCTTTTCGTGTCTCCTCACCACACCAAAGCCATTCTAACAGCTTTTTCACAGTGTTTCAACATTGTTTTTTTCATGGAGTTTTAACCTTCTTTGTTCGTGGAAATGAATGGGCTGAAACAAATGCACTTCATAGACACTGTGGAAATAACCACAGAGATTGTGAGGGAAACCCTGTCCTGCTGGTTGTTGCTCTGCAAAGTGTACTGTGCTAAAACGAATGCTGAATTAAACATCTAGACTACGAAGTTCTGGGTTGTAAGGTAAAGGTTCCCCTTGACATTTAGTCCAGTCATGTCCGACTTTAGGGCGCGGTGCTTATCCCCGTTTCCAAGCCATAGAGCCAGAGTTTGTCCAAAGACAGTTTCTGTGGTCACGTGGCCAGTACGACTAGACATGGAACACTGTTACCTTCCCACCGTGGTGGTACCTATTTATCTACTCACATTTTACATGCTTTCGAACTGTTAGGTTGAGCTATTTGTAAGCCAGATGAGCTTTTGAGTTCCCCTGAAGTGTTCATCAGGAAAAGATGGGGGGGGGAAATGGGAGTGGTGGGAAGAGTAGATAGCCCCCCAAAATTTGAGCCAAACGTGATGGTCTT